GTACCACGGCCGGCTCCCAGGCAAATGACAAATGTTCAAGTCTGATATACTGCTGAAAAGAAAAAAAATAAACGATAAAGGACAGAATATTGAAACTAACTTATTCCACTTACACAATGGTCAAGAAAAGCGTTTGGAAACATGCGATGACAACTTCCGGTGTGGTTCCCGACACTGGACTCACCGACCGACTGAGATCAAACCCACTGAAGTAAATGTGATCAGCGGTAAAATGAAGACTGCAGACGTATGTGCTGTTTGGAATCATCTTGAATTTGGAGCCTCGTCTCTTTCTAAGAACATAAATCATAGGCTACAACACATGAACCAGGACTGAACCAGGAGTAAAACAGGACTGAACCAGGACTAAAACAGGACTGAACCAGGACTAAAACAGGACTGAACCAGGACTAAACCAAGGACTAAAACAGGACTAAAAACAGGACCGAACCAAGACTAAAACAGGACTGAACCAGACTAAAACAGGACTAAAACAGGACTGAACCAGGACTAAAACAGGACCAGGACTAAACCAAGACTAAAACAGGACTGAACCAGGACTAAACAGGACTGAACCAGGACTAAAACAGGACTAAACCAAGACTAAAACAGGACTGAACCAGGACTAAAACCAAGACTAAAACAGGACTAAAACAGGACCGAACCAAGACTAAAACAGGACTAAACCAAGACTAAAACAGGACTGAACCAGGACTAAAACAGGACCAAACCAAGACTAAAACAGGACTGAACCAGGACTAAAACAGGACTGAACCAGGACTAAAACAGGACTGAACCAACAAACCAAGACTAAAACAGGACTGAACCAGGACTAAAACAGGACTGAACCAGGACTAAAACAGGACTGAACCAGGACTAAAACAGGACTGAACCAGGACTAAACCAAGACTAAAACAGGACTAAAACAGGACCGAACCAAGACTAAAACAGGACCAAACCAAGACTAAAACAGGACTGAACCAGGACTAAAACAGGACCGAACCAAGACTAAACAGGAACCAAGACTAAAACAGGACTGAACCAGGACTAAAACAGGACCGAACCAAGACTAAAACAGGACTAAAACAGGACTAAAACAGGAACTAACCAAGACTAAAACAGGACTGAACCAGGACTAAAACAAGACCTAACCAAGACTAAAACAGGAATGTTCAAGTCTGATATACTGCTGAAAAGAAAGAAAAAAAAACGATAAAGGACAGAATATTGTAACCAACTTATTCCACTTACACAATGGTCTCTGTTCACGCTTACGTCACCAACAAGAAAAGCGTTTGGAAACATGCGATGACAACTTCCGGTGTAGTTCCCGACACTGGACTCGCCGACCGACTGTGATCAAACCCACTGAAGTAAATGTGATCAGCGGTAAAATGAAGACTGCAGACGTATGTGCTGTTTGGAATCATCTTGAATTTGGAGCCTCGTCTCTTCTAATCGTAAGTGGGGAAATGATGAAAACTTAAGTTTGGTTGTAATTGTTGATGAGCTGAACATAACGGAACTCTACAAAGACGTAGATGAAGAAAACTGGGGCATTTTCAAATTTTTCCTAGATTTTGTCAGACTTATTACCAGTGGTGAAGTGGGGGTACACGACTTCATCGATGTTATTGACATTAACGCTGTTCATAATCACCCAAAGAACATAAATCATAGGCTACAACACATGAACCAGGACTGAACCAGGACTGAAACAGGACTGAACCAAGACTAAAACAGGACTGAACCAGGACTAAAACAGGACTGAACCAGGACTAAAACAGGACTGAACCAGGACTAAAACAGGACTGAACCAAGACTAAAACAGGACTGAACCAGGACTAAAACAGGACTGAACCAGGACTAAAACAGGACTGAACCAGGACTAAAACAGGACTGAAACCAGGACTGAACCAACTAAAACAGGACCAAACCAAGACTAAAACAGGACTGAACCAGGACTAAAACAGGACTGAACTAAAAACAGGACTGAACCAGGACTAAAACAGGACTGAACCAGGACTAAAACAGGACCAAACCAAGACTAAAACAGGACTGAACCAGACTAAAACCAGACTAAAACAGGACTAAACAGGACTGAAAAAAACAGGACAACCAGGACTAAAACAGGACTGAACCAGGACTAAAACACAGGACTAAACAGGAAAACCAAGACTAAAACAGGACTGAACCAGGACTAAAACAGGACTAAAACAGGACTAAAACAAGACTAAAACAGGACTGAACCAGGACTAAAACAGGACTGAACCAGGACTAAAACAGGACTGAACCAGGACTAAAACAGGACTGAACCAGGACTAAAACAGGACTCAGGACTAAACAGGACAGGACTAAAACAGGACTAAACCAGGACTAAAACAGGACTGAACCAGGACTAAAACAGGACTGAACCAGGACTAAAACAGGACTGAAACCAAGGACTAAAAACAGGACTGAACCAGGACTAAAACAGGACTGAACCAGGACTAAAACAGGACTGAAACCAGGACTAAAACAGGACTGAACCAGGACTAAAACCAAGACTAAAACAGGACTGAAACCAGGACTAAACAGGACTAAACCGGAACCAGGACTAAAACAGGACTGAACCAGGACTGAACCAGGACTGAACCAGGACTAAAACCAGGACTAAACCAGGACTAAAACAGGACTAAAACAGGACTAATCTTGGATTTGAGAGCGAGAGAGAGAACCCCGAGCCCATGGAGCAGGATGTCCACAAAGCCCGATCGGGCACCTCCAGACCTGTCCCAACACTCAGTCCTGGTTCAGTTCTGGTTTAGTCCTGTTTCAGTCCTGTTTAAGTCCTGTTTTAGGTTCCGTCCTGGTCCCTCATGTCTCAGGTCACTATAGGACAGTCGTGCAGATATCATGAGCCTATGCAGGTTGTTTTCACCATTGCCGATCACTCCGGTTTGACATTTAAGTTGTAGCTATTCTTTTTTTTTTGTGATCAAATTTTTATTCAAGTGTTATTATTTGTAATTATACATATTCCAGTTAGCATTGCATTTTTCTCCTTTTTAAGCCCCCCACCCCCCACCCTTAAATTCCCTATTGATGGGCATTAACATACATATGTACTCACACATATACATAATTACACACATACATACATACATATATATACACACACTCATATACACACATATATATATACACATATACATAAAAAACATATATACAGCATCTACATAAACACACATACCAGTATACACATATTACAGTATATATGTTATATATACATACAAATGTACATACACATTCATATACACACAGACACACCCACACAAAAAAAAAAAAAAAACACATCCAGGTTTATATTTCCTCTACACAAAACAGACAAGTTTCCTCCGTCAAAAGACATCAGCAGAAATAGCATCATACACACTTATTATGTACCATACATAGAAAGTTTACTGAGAGTACATATTGTGTACATTCTAAGAACATATATTATAATGAAAAAACCCCGTAACAACTAAACAATGGATTCAGATCTCAGTTTGATTAACAAATTGGACCAGCAAGAAATGTTTTTGTTTTTTGCTCCGTGCATTCGGGCAGCAGAAAGCTCCAGTTGAACGGTTTCTCTGAAAGACAGGAGCCATTCTCTCACAGTCAGAGGCTGAACTGATTTCCACCGACATATTACCATTTTTTTGGCAGCTGTAAAACCCGCTAGTAATATGCGACGATCATTAGTTGTCAGATTTAGTTTGGACATGTCGTTTAGCAAAAGAAACCTCTGAGTGCAAGGTATGGTTATGGTTAGTTGTAGCTATTCTATATTTGTTATTTTTTCTCATGTCGGGAGAAATTGGTGGACGGCGTACCCCCACATACCACGCCCACTACACCCTTGTTTACTACTGCGTACAGAACCCGCCGGAAGTTGTCAATTCATGTTTTCAAAAGTCTTCCTGCTTTGTGACGTAAGAGTGAATAGAGCCTGTAATCCTGAAGTAAAATCACCACAAAAAATCCTGTAAATTCTAAAAACATAAGCTTCAATTAATTAAACAGCGGAAGGAAACACTTCAGTCATTAGTTTGCGTCTATAATGAATCGTAGACTGCATTTATTCAACCCTCTGCAGTTAGTCAAAATCACTATTTAAAAGGAGGCAATTAGCAAAGGCTGCAATTTTTGAAGTACCTTTGTTTTTTCTCCGTAAACACCAAAATCTCTGTCTGTCTTATTCTGCATAAAAACAGCCGCCCCTGTAGTTTAGATCTGTACAGCTCGTGTTCTGGAATACATCTTGTCAGTTCATTATCATTAGTCGGGCTTTTTGTCAGTACATCTGGACGTGTTTAAAATGTGATCTTTGAACAAAATCCTAAATAGTACGAGTGTTCATGGGCCTGTGTAGGCGTGTGATTCAGACTCAGATTAAAGTCTAACTTGAGTAACAGAGCTTCTAACAGAGCAGCGCTTTCAGTTCACTTCACAGATCCAGGGAATGTTCAGCTGTAAAGTATCAATTAAAGGGCCCATATTGTACCTTTTTCTGATCTGTTCTAATGTTGTTCCCTCATTAAAAACATACCCAGTGTTGTTTTACTCACAAATGTTTAACACACAAATCCTGCATATTTTTCTTGAACTCTTGGCAAAGTTCTCGATTTACCGGTCAGTCTTCGTTCCTACTCTCACCTGTGGTCATGAGCTCTGGGACGAAATCGTGGATACAAGCGCTCCAAATGAGTTTCCTCCGCAGGGTGGCTGGGTGCTCCCCAGCTCAGTCACACGGGAGGAGCTCGGAGTAGAGCCGCTGCTCCTCCACGTTGAGAGGAGCCAGTTGAGGTGGCTCGGGCATCTGTTCCGGATGCCTCCTGGACGCCTCCCTCGGGAGGTGTTCCGGGAGGCCCTGGGGAAGACCCAGGACACGCTGGAGGGACTATGTGTCTGGACTGGCCTGGGAACGCCTCGGGGTCCCCCCCCGGAGGAGCTGGAGGACGTGTCTGGGATGA